TCCACCACTTCCACTCCCCTCCCCCTCACACCCCACTCCACCTGTCCTCCATATATACAAATCAACTCTCCACCACCACTACCACCACACCCCTTCAGAACCTAACCTAAGGAACACCACAAAAACAGACAAAGCTCGGTTCATCACACACACACACACACACACACACACACACCAGTTAGTGTGTGTGTGTGTGTGTGTGTGTGTGTGTGTCTATAAAACTCGTGATTTCTGAATAAGTAATGAGTACTACGTCACACCTCCTAGTAGTTTCCATAATACGTGAATGTGGAATGAAGGAGAGGAGAGGGAGGAAGGAGAAGAGGAGAAGGAAAAGAAGAAGAAAAGTAAAGAAAGAAGAGAAAGAAAAGGAGGAGGAAAAGTAGGAGGAAAGGAAAGAAAGCAGGAAAAGAAGAACAGGAAGAAAGAAAAAAGAGCAGGAAAGAAGAAGAGAAGGAAAGAAAAAGAGGAAGAAAGGAAGATGGGGAGAGGAAAGGGAGAGTTCTAAATCTGAAAACCACAAGAAGCCTCATCCTTCAGTGGGTAACGTAGGAGAGAGAGAGGATTACCAGAGGATGGGGAGAGAGAGAGGGAGCATGAGCAATTTGCTGACGCGTTCTGGGTAGTTTATGAGTGGTAGGAATGGCTGTGTGTGTGTGTGTGTGTGTGTGTGTGTGTGTGTGTGTGTGTGTGTGTGTGTGTGTTGTGCCAGAGTGAAGATGGAAACTTTAAGACGGATTTGTTGGTTTAGAGGAGAGGTTGTAGGGAAACAGGTGGATAATAGACAGGTGAATAAAATACAGGTGAAAAATCAACAGCAAAAATAATCACCATCAGGCAGCCATCACTCCACAGGTAAATAAAAGACTCCCAGGTGACTCCACAATCTCCTCCGTCACCCACCCAGCCCAAAACCTGCCTCAATTTCACTCTTCCATTTGGTAATTTAATCCTTACCTGTTTTAATCTAGTTATTCATACAGTCCATCTTACCTAATGCCATTTGAGAGCTTTTCGTTAGTTAAATAATATATAAAAACTGACATCATCGTAGAAAAAGGTTTAAAAACTTAAGGTAATTTTTTTCCTAATCTATTCCAGTTTATTTTGAATTGTGGTTATCTGTCGTTCATAGGGTCCTAAATACTTTTTATCAGTTCTTTATCTTTCTCTCATAGATAAGAATAATGTTTTGGAATCAGTTAAAATATATGTGTAAGTTAATTAATCTAATGTACCTGACTAATTGTTTCCACTTCCTAGGAATTTTTATCTTTTGTCTCGTGGTTCTGTTTTAACTGTTATGGAAGAACCTCTGAACCTCTGCCTAGGTCCTGAGCCACCTCTTCTGCAGGAGGGTCACGCCCCCCTTGAGAGGTTCCTAATGCTGCTCTGACTTTCTCGACAATCCTCACCTCTCTCTCTCTCTCTCTCTCTCTCTCTCTCTCTCTCTCTCTCTCTCCTCATTTACGAGTATTGCCATTTTATTACCTTCCTATTAATAAAGATAAATAATACTCAATAAAATACACAATTCCTGAGGTTTCTTTCTTGCCCCTGTATATATAAAACCTTCATTTCATTAACTATATTTCTCAGCCTTTTCATACACGTTTAAGGAATGTCTCAGTAAATCCACAACATAAGAGACTCTCAGCTGGGCGAATTGTGTTTTACAGTCACGAGATTCGACAATGAGAACTATTGTAAATATTGTCCAGTTTCAGCAAATCGTACTTTAAACTAGTATCCGCCAGTGTTTGTAGCCGCTGTGGAGGAGGGAACTGTCTGATTGTTGGTAGTCGACGTGAGGTTCAGTAAACAACAGACATTTGATATATTTCGACGACACACACACAACTGCCACGGTTCTTTCGGGGTGGGTGTGTGTGTGTGTGTGTGTGTATGTGTGTGTGTGTGTGTGTGTGTGTGTGTGTGTGTGTGTGTGTGTGTGTGTGTGTGTAGAAAACAGTTATCAACATACACTCACGCCTGAGAGATAACACCTGAGAGATAACAGAGATAAGACAAATATTCGCTGGTATTACTTTACCTCATTGCCTGTGCAGGAGAATACTCAAACTCATTTACATATTCAGTGGAGGTATAGCCATTAATCACCTCGTCTACAGTACGTTTCTCAAAGTGCTTGTTAACTAGTTGGGGGAGAAAAAGTTACCAATCCCTTAACACGTTTCACTCTCGTCCCGGGTCCCTAGTGGTTAAAGTCTATCTAAACTTCTTAGTAATATTTAGGTCAATTATGCCACAACTTATGCCAGTCAGGAGAATTATGCCACGTTGAGGAGATATTTTTTTTAGTAGCATAATTGATGTACTGTAGCTGTACGAGACTAAATTGAGGAGGACAGAAGTAGATTATATTTATGTAGGTAATTTTGTAGTGTAGGAAGTAATGTAATTCGCTTTATTTATCGTTAGCCATGAAAGACACAAAGCTGGTTGTTGATGTTTCTCAGACACACACACACACACACGCACACACACAATTTACCATCAACGTGTGAATACATTAACTATTCGTCCTGCTCTTGTGACCATTATTATTTACTATTTACTGTTACTAAGAAAATGACCAACACACGAAGAGTTCTCAGTAGGTCACATCATAAGATATCTCAAGTTCCTTCACAACACCGACAGGGAAAATGTAGTAGTAACAGCATTTTACCTCCTTAACAAAGACCTAAATGGGTTTACGTATGGTTGGGGGGGGAGGAGATATAGAGGGGGGAGTTAGTGGGAGGGAGGGAGGAGGAAATATGGGGGAGGTTAGTGGGGGGAGGAGATATAACAACAATACGAGAATGTGTAGAAATCCCGGAGATGCATCTTTACTTGTAAGAGGAGAAAAGAGAAGAGAAGAAGGAAGGGGAGAAAGAGAAGGAAGGAGAGAAAGGGAGGGGAAAGAGAGAAAGGAGGAGAAGGAAAGGGGGAAGGGGAAGAGGAAAGGGAAGAAGAAGGAAAAGGGGAAGGGGAGGAGGAAGGGGAAGAAAAAGAGAGTAAGAAAAAGAGAAAGCGAGCAAGAGAGAGAGAGAGAGAGAAAGAGAGAAAGAGAGAGAGAGAGAGAGAAAAAAAAAGAGACCCAAAGACAAAGAAACAGCAAGAAGAATATATGAACAAAAAGCAGAACCGAAAAACACCTCAATATACCATCTCTCTACCACACATTATGTAGTAGTAGTAGTAGTAGTAGTAGCAGTAGTAGTAGTAGTAGTAGTAGTCACCTGATGTAAGTTCTCTCTGGTCTCTTTTGTTACACTGTATCACACTTCACCTCCCACACACAGGTAAGGCAGGTATTACCGTATGTCTGTTGAGCTCTTTATCTACGACTCTCCTATGTCCACCTTAAGTTCAATTTCTCCCTATTATTATTAAATTCAACCTACATTGGGTGGGTAGGAGTGAGTGGGTAGGACTGACTGACCAATAAAACACTCACTATCCATGTTAAGTACCATGCATGACCTTTTGGAAACACAATTAACACATCCAATACTCTATGACCTTTGACACACGAGGTTAATTACTGAGATATCACTGTTGGGATGAATATGACCCAAGGAAATTAATATACTTTATGTGATATAGTTTAAAAGTCGGGTTTAAACAATATCAACCCGACACTATCCACCCCACGCCCACAATATCCACCCCACGCCCACAATGTCCACCTCAGCTACAGCAGCGAGCTTGAGAGACGGTCAGTGGGCGTGGTCGACAGCTCTTGACGCCCCTGGGACAGATAGAGCAAGATTGTCTCAGGCTGGTTCAGTATTGACGTAAATTACTTAAAATTGTTTTTGATTAGATTGAATTGAATTGGGTAGAAATTGAATTGAATTAGATTAGATTAGATTGTGAATTAAGAATTAGATGGGAGAATTAGACAGAATTAGATTGGATACAGAATACCTTAAACTCTCTCTTATTTCTGGCAAATCATAAGAATTTAATAGTGTCCCCTTACCCGCGCCAAGCCCACGAGGAAGGCTAGACTAACCAACATCAAACCCACATTCCCCACCGCCCACCGCCCACTACTACCACCGCCCACCGCCCACCGCCCACTACCTTTTCCCACCACACAAAAAAAATAGACAAACAAAAACGTAATAAAACAAGACACAGAAAGAATCACGAAGAAAGAGGAAAAGAGGAGAAACAGAGCAAAATACAAAAGAAGAGATAAAGAGCAACATAAAATAGAGACGAAAGAGGAACAGAGAAAAATGTGGATAAAAGAGACAAAAGGAAAAACAAATCCATAACAAGTTGGGTGTTGGGTAAAGTGGTGGTTGTTGGTGATGGTGGTGGCTGTAAAGAATGGTAGTAGCTGTAATGGTGGTGGTTTGGGATCGTGGTGGCTGAAACAGAATGGTGATAGCTGTAAAGATAATAGTGGTGGGTGGACGTGATGGTGGTAGTTGTAAAGGATAGTGGGGTAGGTCTAATAGTTGTGGTAGTGGTGGTAGGTGATAGTGGTTGCTGTAAAGAATGGTGGTAGTTGCAAGGGTGATGGTGGTAGGTGAGGGGGAATGTACAGTAATGTCAGAGAACTATTGTCATTACGAAGAGAGAGAGAGAGAGAGAGAGAGAGAGAGAGAACGAAAAACAGACACACATTAACACACTCCTCCACACACACACACACACACACACGCACTACCCTAAATCTCACCCATAACGAGGTGCAGTCGTCGCTAATGACCATTTGAGTGACGTGAACCAACTAGTCTAGCTGATATATGTGAAATAACAGGAAAAAAAATACAACCATAAATTTAACTCCCATAAAAGAAAGATTTGTATACATTGCGAAAGACCCTTGAGATAAAATACTTCTCACTCCAGGAAATATCAAGATTCAGGACCGTTTTGTCTAATATATCCGTAATTAACGATAAATTTAAACACAGGAGAGAAAATAAGGAACACAGGAACACAAGAGAAGAAAAAAAATATTTGATACTCACATTAGCCACGATTGGGGAATGGGATGCAACGTTGCCAAGTGTCCAGGTGATGTTAGCCTGAGGTCGAGATCCGGCAACAACGCAGGGGATCTCATACTCCCGGCCAACCCTTAATGATTTTGGTGGCGACTCCAACCTGGTTACCAACGGCCTCACTGAAGGTACACACAAAAAAATAAACAAATAAATAAACAAATAAACAAGGTATGATTAAGTAAAACCTCTATATAACGGACTTATCTCTAAAGAATCCGTTATATGAAGGTTTTGATCATCTATAAGACCTTCTATATAACGGAATTTCATCTCTATATAGCTCATTAAATAGAAGTTTCACATCAGACAGACACCTTGATATAACGGACTTTCCTCAGTGGAGTCCGTTAAAGAGAGGTGTCCACTGTACTCTATTATAATGTAAATAGAAGGGGAGGAAATGGGGATGGATTAATGGGAGCGGTTGGTTACTATTATGATATATGCAGCAAGGAGGAGGCAGGGAGGGGGGAGGGGCGGGGGGAGAGGGGGAGGGAGCGGGGGGAGAGGGGGAGGGGCAGGGGGGGGGAGGGGCGGGGGAGGGGGAGGGCAGGGGAGGGGCAGGGGAGAGAGGGGGGGGAGGGCAGGGGGAGAGGGGGGGGAGGGGGAGAGGGGGGCTGAGGAGGGGGGGAGGGAGCAGGAGGGGGGAGGAAGGAGAGGGAGGGGGGGAGAGGGAGGGGGGAGATGTCTGACAGCCTGTGGGGCCAGTGAAATTATGACATGGTGGTGTGCTGTGGGAAGGAGGGAATGGACGGGGAGAGGCTGGGCAGGGGCAAGGGGGAGCAGGAAGTGATAAGTGCCAATGGGTAAGGAGGGAGGAGGAGGGAGAGGAGTAAATGAGGGGGAAAGAGTATTGATGGAATATTAGGGAGAAGGAGGTGAGGGGGTGAGGGGGGGAAGGGTGAGGGGGAAGGAGTGGGGTGAAAGGAGGTCCTAATACACTATTGCCGTAACTACCATCAAGGGAAGAGACGGGATGGGAGGGAGAGAGGTAGGGAGGAGGGATGGGAGAGGAGAGGAAGAGGAAAGGGAGAGAAGATGAGAGGAAGAGGAAAGGGAGAGAAGATGAGAGGAAGAGGAAAGGGAGAGAAGATGAGAGGAAGAGGAAAGGGAGAGAAGATGAGAGGAAGAGGAACTGGTGGGAGGAGAGGGAGGAAGAAGAATAAGTAGGAGGATAGACGAGAGGAAGGATAGAGGAAGAGGAAGGGGAGGGAATGAAAGGGGTAGGTGATCAGCGGTAACTGTTAGGATGCATATGGTCGTTCCAACACAAACTACCACCATGGGAGAGGAATATGTGTCATGAGGGGCAATATGTGTCATGAGGGGCAATATGTGTCATGAGGGGCAATATGTGTCATGAGGGGCAATATGTGTCATGAGGGAACAATATGTGTCACGAGGGATCAATATATACCAGACACACATACAGGTAATTAAATAAAAACATGATATAATTACCTATAGAAAACTAATTAATACCACACACTTAAGTAAACATAACATCAAATACACCTTTACAGCCTTTACTTCTTATATCTCGTGTTTTTGTTCCATATCTCGTGTTTTTGTTCCATATCTCGTGTTTTTGTTCCATATCTCGTGTTTTGTTCCATATCTCATGTTTTGGTTTCATATCTCGTGTTTTGGTTCCATACATATCTCGTGTTTGGTTCCATATCTCTCGTGTTTGGTTCCATATCTCGTGTTTTGGTTCCATATCTCCATATCTCGTGTTTTGGTTCCATATCTCGTGTTTTGGTTCCATATCTCGTGTTTTTATCCCATATCTCGTGTTTTTTTGTTCCATACCTCGTGTTTTGGTTCCATATCTCGTGTTTTGGTTCCATATCTCTTGTTTTGGTTCCATATCTCGTGTTTTTGTTCCATATCTCGTGTTTTGGTTACATATCTCGTGTTTTGGTTCCATATCTCTTGTTTTGGTTCCATATCTCGTGTTTTGGTTCCATATCTCGTGTTTTTGTTACGTTACTGTCACAACATAAGCTTCCTCTCTACCCCAGTTCCTCAAAACACTTAACATAGACACCGTATATTTCCCCACGTCTACAAATATCAGAATAAAGTTACTACTATACTCCTCACATAGTCATTGGATCTCCGAGCAACGTCCTGAACAACACGTAAATATTATGTGATGGTTTAATACGTTTTAGAATCATGGTTGTTATCAGGTTAAAATCGACTGATATTTTTTTTTTTTTAGTATATGGTGATTTGGTATGTAGGGTTTTTCTTTTGTCACTTTTGGGGATTTTATAAATACCTGCAAGTTAAATCTGTCATTGTTCACTTGCTTTTTTTCTTTATTCATCATATTTTTGCCGTTTTTTATATATATATATTAATGATCTCTGGCCATAATTACATTTTCTTTAAGTTCCTCAATTTATTTTCTCACTGCGCTATTCATTTCAAAATTCTTAGTTCTCATTTTTATTCCTCAATGAAATAAATCTATTTTTTTTCCTCTCAATTCGGTTCTAAACTTAAGGTCTACTGAACCTTTACGAAATAATTGAGGGAGTTATATATTCTTAATAGTTTATGGTCATTTGTGAGTAATAATCCCGTTTTCTTTAACCCCTAACTGGCCTATAATTGCTCCCAGGACTGTGGTGGTGGTGGAGCTGACGTTATTAAAATTCAGATGGATGGAATTCAGTTCATTTTAGTTTATTTTATAGCCACTGAGTTTTTCTAGGTTAATTTCTAATACATTTCATAATAAATAAATAATTCATAAGCTCTACTTATATTATCAAAAGTTAACAAGTTTACCTTCGATCTAATTTAACTCACCATTATTAAATTTTCCTCGTAGGTGTTAAAAAAATAAATTATCTCTCTAATTGCGTTGAAATCACCATTAATGAGTCTATATTAACCTATTATGTTGTCGTGTTAGGTTAGGTTAGGTTAGGTTAGGTTAGGTTAGGTTAGGTTAGGTTGGGTTAAGGCAGGATATAATGACAACGTGAAACAGAGACCAGGAAATGTCAAATTCCTTCGGCTTTCATGTTAACTTGACCGCTCTCTCGCCTGAAGACATAAGCTCCTGGGAAGATTATAGGTGAGTGGCTGGGGAGGGTATGGGGGAGGAGTAAGGAGTAGGAGGTGGGGAGGAGTAGGAGGTGGGGAGGAGTAGGAGGTGGGGAGGAGTAGGAGGTGGGAGAAGTAGGAGGTGGGAGGAGTAGGAGGTGGGGGAGGGAGTAGGAGGTGGGGAGGAGAGGAGGTGGGGAGGGTAGGAGGTGGGGGAGAGTAGGAGGTGGGGAGGAGTAGGAGGTGGGAGGGTTGGTGGGTGGGAAGGGTGGGGGACTGGGGAGCAAAGGTAGGGAGTAGGATTAATGGTGGTGGGGTGTGTGTGTGTGTGTGTGTGTGTGTGTGTGTGTGTGTGTGTGTGTGTGTGTGTTACTAATCTGGTCTGGTTAAAAGCTGATTAAAGAAAAAATAGTTAGGTGAGGATTAACTCTACACAGCTTACAGTGTTATGGACTAAATACAGCAGATGACGCTATAAATGTCCTGATACTCTTAACGTTAGCTTCGGCCAATCAGCGCTGTTGTATCGGATTTTTCAACCAATCAGCGTTGTTGTATCGGAATTATAAGCCAATCAGCGCTGTGTATTGAAATTATCATCCAATCAGAGCTTCAGTACTAAAATTCCTATCCAATACGCGCTACAGTTCTGAAATTCTCAACCAATCAGCGCTGTTGTTACGGAATTATCCTAGCCTTAAATAACTCATAATCCCTCACTTAATCACTCCAGCCTCACCTTGACACCAAATTCATAAATTCATCACTCATTATGAAACAATTTACTCATTATTTCCCGCACTCCTTACAATGAAACTAATTAAATGAGGTTATTGTTCCATTATCCTTCTCATTATAATTTTATAACTCATCACTAACTCATACCTCTCATTATCACCTCATTATACCTTTCATTATCACCTCATTAAACCTTTCATTATCACCTCATTATCCCCCATTATATATTTAATTACTACTCGTTATACTTCTCATTATACCTTGCATTACCCTTCATTACCTTACCATTCACTGAGGTAATTAGTCAGGTAATCACCCAAATATCACCTGACCCAGCTATAGCTTTCTCAGGTAAATGGCTCGTACATAGGAATATCTCTACTATTATTCAACTTTCCACAACTTGCTCGTTTCCTCCCTCGTACATTATCTCGTAATTACCCATTCATCAAGCATTATCTTGTAATTACCTATTCAGCTCTTAAGCACCGTCTGACTTTGCCTTTTGTGTTTTGAGATCACTGGTGTGGTCTCACTATCTCGCTGTCTCTCTCTTGGTCTTTTGTGTGTTTCGTTTTCTCTCTCGTTCTCTCTCTCTCTCTCTCTCTCTCTCTCTCTCTCTCGCTCAGTCCATCTCTCGCTCAGTCCATCTCTCTCTCTCAATCCATCTCTCCCTCTATCTCTCTCGCTAAAGCTTCTGGATCTCGCTGGCGTTGATCTCTAACGAGCGAACTTCAAAACTGGACGACAAACTTGTAGTGTGTTTTTCTCAACCTTTACTGTAGTTAGCAAGAGGTAACATGACTTGAGAGGGGCAGATACAACTTATACTCTTCTGTATATCCAACTTTACAAGAAAAAACAAACTCCTTCACGCCAGATAACTTTATGTCAAGAAGATGAAAGATTATATACGTCAGGATTCAGAGTATAATATTCTACAAAACTTTTATTGTTGTTGATAAAGTTGTTTTCTGTGATGTTGGACCGTATCAGACATGTCAGTATAAAAGGGTGATAAGGTTGAGAGTTGTATGTTACGGGGCGTTATAGTTGTACACTGAGTCTGACTATACCAGGGCACACGAGACAGCCTGGGACCTGAATATTTTAAAGCAACACGATTTATTTTACTCATTACATGGTCCAGCAACGTTACATGCTTCTTCATTTACATAATGCTCTCATAAATTAATTGATGTAGTTTTGGCGGGTTTTTTTACGTTATGTACTCGTACATAAACAGCCACGGCCATAAGCAGCGTGTAGGGTATATAGTCAGGGCCACGGCCATAAGCAGCGTGTAGGGTATATAGTC